TAATACTGAACACAAATATTTTGTTTGTGTCTTGAGAAAATTAGCCGCCATTAGGTTTAAAGATAGCCATGGCTAAGTTTTCACAACTTCTATAAAAAATGAGACGTTCTTTACTTATTTTACTTAAAGAAGTCAAATATGTTATTTCATAAAATTATTACTAATTTAGCTTCGACGTATCTTACAGTATCACATATCAAACATTTTGGCTTTCAAGAGACAATAAATAGTATCTTTGTGCTCTGGTGTGATTAAAAATGAATACAAAAAAAACGCAAACAATTAAAATTTCTGAACATGATTTGACTTCGCTTAATCTTTGAAGTGGAGAATTCATCAATGTGAACCACTTCAATCAGAGGAAATAACAATGTTGAAAACCTTAACGAACTCTTGAAAGAAAAAGGCAGTTTGTCACCCAAAGAATTGCGAAAGATCCGTTGAATGTGATTGCTTGCAGGTTGCATGTTGCAAGTCTCAGTGGCAGTTAAACCATAATTAACAGTTTTTAAAATGTGATTTATATATGAAGTCGCGAAAACAATGATGAGAGTACTAAGGTGTGAAAAAGTGTATTAAAATATTTTGGTTCCAATATCGGGAGCAGTTGTAGTGCTAAAGATTATAAACTGGAATTTCTTATAAAATAAAAACTAGCACATTGTACTAGTATATAGTATAACTTAATAGTATGAGCTCTATTTCAGCGTAGAGTGAAAAGAACTATAATTATACAATTAAACTAATATCTGCGACTGCTGTATAGATACAAAGATACATAATTGTAAAAAATATTGCTCATTGTTTTCCTGCTTTATTTTATCTTAAGTGAACAATTTTTTTTTGCAATATTGCAAAATATATTAATTGAATTTAATATGTTTTAATTTTTGCAATGGATTAGTTTTCGAAATATATAATTGCTAATGAGTTAAGCATGACTACCACACCCAGTGAATAGGCACACTGTTAATCTATATGTATATTTTATGACTGTATATATCGAATAATGCTTTACACACTAAATTATATTAAATGATTAACAATAATTTAATATATATTAATGCGAATTTTAATTTCCTAACCTTTTTTATGCAAGTACAATATTTTTCTCATAATTATTTATGTATATTTATTAAATTTTTTTATTATACCGATACATTCTATTCTGAACACCCTACCGGTTGAATTAGTGAGAAACCACAAATCTTTTCATACAAATTTTTGGAATCACTTAAGCACGACAACCACAGAAGACTGAACTAACAAACCACAACCGAAGCACTTAGAAGGCTGACAAAAAATCATAATTAAACAATAAAAATCAAATAAAATATTAACAATAAAAAAAGTAACATTTCATTGAAATGTAAACCGAATTAAAGTGTTCAGTGCTCATGTTTCCGGTAGTTCAAGTCTTCAGCAATGAACTCTTTAATTGCAACTGAAAAAATGCTATTAAATTTTTCGTTGGTAATTGCGTTTCATATGGACTACAACGTTTTGCCTCACAATTACTATTTATTAACATATTGTATATTGTCTGCAATTTGTCAACTTGAGATAAAATAATGTCCATATATACTTATTTCAAAAAAAAAAATTTTTATTATACAAAATTTAAAATATAATTAATTTTCTCGAGAATTTGATTATAACCTATCATCATTTAACCAAATCATTTCAGAGAAAATTATATCTTCATGTTAAACGTCGATATGTTCCCTTTTTCACAGTTGGTATTATGATATACTACATCGATATTAATATGAGAATACTCGTATATATTATAAAAATTAAATCTGTAATATACTTTTAAAAATAAGTAATCAACTGTTATTACGAGGGCTATTGAGGGTATACGAGGGTATTGTGCCTAATAAAGGAAAAGCAGTGGTTTATAAGTAAAAATAGTTTTATTGTGCTTCAAAGTATTCGCCATGAAGATTGTTTCATTTTTGCATTCGATTGAATCAATTTTACAAACAATTTCGCTACTCTGAAGTAAGTATCCTCAAAGTTAGAGTTTTGAATCTCCCAAACGGCTTGTTCGGGCGCAAAAAAAACTGTTCGCCATGCATTTTTTCTTAATGTTTGGGAACAAGAAGAATTCATTGGATTTCAAGTCGGGACTATAAGAAAAAATAACTCTCGTGGTAAAGGATGACCTTCTTTCGATTATTGATTTTCCTTAATTCTTCAAAAACTTCCGTCAACCAAATGGTTATGTACCACTGAAAACTGACCGTTCTACGTTGTTCACGTGGTACATTTGCGTTATGACCGGTTTTTCTGAAAAATAATGCTAGTATTTGCTTGGATTTGCACCTTTCACGGAAAACTTCTGTTCTGCTTCTTTTGTTCTTTGATAAATCCAAATACAGTCTACTTATTATTAAATTGATTATTGTATTCAACTAAACGTAAATTAGTAATTGAAGCAGTTTTATTGAATAATGATTGTGATACCTTGGGTAATCCATTCCAGTAAGTGTTTCATTTAAATATGATATTTAAATATTATATTTATGAAATTATAATATATTTATATATTTATAATATATTTATGATATATCTTTTTTGAAAAAATTTTTAAATAAATTTTAAATAAATAAAGTCATTAATGATAACTTTAGAGTGTTAAAGATTCAATACCATGAAGATGCCTATACAATATAGTCGAAATATCGGTTAAAATAATAAAATTTTTTAAAAAAACACAAGTAATAATTTTTTATTTAATTTAATTAAAAAAGTGCATATTTAACTATTGACTAGTAATCCCGTTAAAAAATAAAAATATCATTAAAATTTTTTTTTGGTAATAAAGACATTAAATTATAAAATAAAGCTTTATAAATATATACTTTAATAATTTTAACAAATTAAATTAAATTTTTAGTTTCGTTGTAAATTTCAGATGTACGTATTTATTATTTTGCGAACTTTTTACCTTGTTATAATAAATTTATTTTTATTTTATTAAAAAAATGAGATTATTTAGGTATATTTTAAGTTTTGAAAACATTTGAGTTTCCATTGACTTTTCATTGAGTTTTTATGTATGCTCCCAACAATTTTTATATACATATTTTTTTTATATAATTAAGGATTTTAATAAAAATATATTTTTAGAAAATTTTTTAATTTTGTTTTAAATTAAATAATAGTAATTTTATTAATGCATTTATAAATTTAGAAATTAAGATAAGTTTTTTTTAAGTTTTATTTTAAATTTAAAAAAAAAATTTTTTATAAGTTAATTTTTTATTAAGTTTTGCTCTAAATTTAAAGCGATTAAAGATTTTAAATAAATGAAATTTAAAAATATGTTTATAAAATATTTAAAAACAAATTTATAAAAAAATTTAAAAATACACTTAAAAACAATATTCAAAATAAATTAAAATTAAATTTGCGTGTTTTCTAAATTTTTTAATTTATTTTTTATAATTCTCGAATTCTAATATAAATTATATCCAAAGCCTATGCAAACACTTAACCCATAGTGTGACAAATGAATTTGTTCCTGATGCACACTCTATGTATTAAATACTCATTGCTATAATTTTAATTAAAATAAGTTCTAAAAAATATATAATAAAATTGTTCTTAATTATAAAGGTATTGGGGATTTTTGCAACATTTTATTTTTAGTGAATTTTTTATTTTTTTGTTATACTCTTAAAATAACTTAAGTTATTTGTAATTTCAATTAAAACTAATTTAAGAAAGGTATTTGATTTTTCTGCAAAATTCTTTATTTAATTTTTATAATTCTCAAACTTTAAAATAATTTAAGTTTTTAATTAAAATATATAAGAAATTTTTCTTATTTTCGCGTTTTTATATTGAGAATGTTTTTTATATATTATATTTTTATATTCGTTTATATTAGAATTATTGGATTTAAAAAAAATTTGGTTTTTAATAAGAACTAATTTTAAAATTTTTTTTTTAAATTTTTTTAGTAATTTATTTAATACATTTTATTATTATGTTAAGGCTAGTTGAGTCAGTGCACCTGAGCATTTTTTATAAACTGCGAGGTTTCTTCAAAACCCCTCTTTGCGCCTTGACTAGATTATTGTATATCACTTCATCAGACTAAGCGATAATTCACCACAGATCTGCATACCTCCCCGAGGAGCCTGTATCCATTCTGAGATTTTATAACATATTATTCTATTATTATTTAATATTATTTTAAATATTTCTATTGAACAATATTTTATTTTTGCATATACAATATTTTACTATTAAAAACATAAAAAAAACTTGATATTCTTATATTACAAAAATTATTAAAGAAGTGTTTTATTAAATTAAGAAATCTCCTTGTAAAATTAATACATTATAATTATCGTATTATATATTAATATTTACATAAATTTTGAATAAATTTAAATTTTTGTTTTGCTTCATTCAAGTAATCGCAATATTGCAATAATAATAAAGCAAATGACACTCGCTTTGAGTAACTCGATTTTGTTTACTGCTCATTGCACAGCGCTAAGCTTTGAGTCTTGCCTTGCTACTGACTCAGCAGCGGAAAATGCTGAGATTTTTCTTGAAAGCCCAGCTCATGACTGATATTGTACAAGATGTTCGTCGTCGTCGTTGTCGTCGCCGTTGTTATTCTTGTTGTTTTTGTTACTGCTGTTGATTTTTGCTGCTATTAATGTTACCCTCAGCGCTGAAGCAAAGCAAAGTTTGTACTAACAGAAGTCATTGACGGGGCGTTTTATGTACTACTACAGTGTATTTTCGTGTTGTTGTTGGCGTTTTTGTTATATTTATTTTTGTTTTTATTACAAAGTAACTTTGGGAAATAGCACTGGTCGCGTTTTAGTTTAATTTGTTTTTGGTTTTTCTATTTTTTTTTTGTTGTTTTTGCGTTGCGGTATTGTTTTGTTGTGACTATTTTTGAATTTTTTTCTCAGAATTTTTTCTTTACTATTTTCGAGTATAAATATTCGTTACACTGACCAAATCAAGACATAACAGAATCTGCAAGCAACAAACAAGCAAAGTACTCTTCTGTGAAAACTCCACATCAAATCAACTTCATATCAACATGTTCAAATTGGTAAGCAGGACGTGATGTGAATATCCTTGTTACACATAAGAACACAGTGCTTAATAGTGTTAAACGATCATGAAAAATGTCTTAAGGACTTGGATATGTATTTTAACCGTTTTATTGAAAAAGATTAATTTTGTTAAATAAATATAAAAAATAATAATCATATAAAGTTTATATACTGGGACAGTGAAGTGATTGCATTATACATATATTGTTAATATTTTGTATTTAACAGAAAGTGTCGTAATAATTAAAGTGATAGGATTTTTTTAATCCAGTGTCAGTTAAGTGATGTTTTATATCTTTAACGGTCAGTTTTACAATATGCACTTAAGTAAGTAACCTTTAAATTGCCCATATTAGATACTTAAGTGTTACTTAAATATGCTTTTATCGGTAAGCCAGGACTTAAGTGTGCATTGTGAAACTAACTCTATTCTTTTAATTTTCAACTGGAAAGGAAGGTGGCATAAATATGTGATTCTTAAAGATATAAGTAGTGAAAAATTTTTACTATTTGATAATGTCAACTTGTAAATAAGCTAACACTTTCTATGTAAATGCCAGTGATTTATATATATTATAAATATATATATATGTAATACGATTTCATATAGGCAAACTTAAAAAATCAACATCAGAAAAGTGAGCATCTGGTACTTGTTCTATATATGTTCTTATTTGTTACATAAATATAAATAATTTGAAGCCATAGTAACGTCACAGTATATAGCCTACTGCATTAAATAAATAGAGTATAAAATTATAAATAACATTTCTAATAATTTAAGACATTTAAATGAAATTCAATTTAATCGAGCTTAAGATCGATATTTTAACACTCATTTTAATAAAAAGTATTAAATAACCTGAATAAAGGTCGATTTAAATTTAACTGGCCTTAAGGACGATAATTTAACACTCAAATTAGTCAAAGAAGTGTTAAGTAGCCAAACTTAAACTCTAAAGATCGATGGCTAAAGGTCGATTTAAATTTAACAGACCTTAAGGACGATAATTTAACACCTAAATTAGTCAAAGAAGTGTTAAGTAGCCGATCTTAAGCCCAAATAAATTTAATTTAATTGAAATATAATACGATAATATAAATAAATTTTTCATATATTTATAATTTAAATAAGAATAATTAAAAACTTTTATTGAAATTGCAATTAATTAAAGAGATAGATAGTGTTACCGCTTTAACACTATGTTTTGAATCAAATTGAAAACTATATATTACTTTAAACATTACACACTATAACCACAAAAAAATAATTAACTATATCTAATATTTATAACAATCCTTACAGATTGCTTTATTCTCTGCACTGTTTGCTGTATCATCAGCCGGCTACATTGGCGGTGGTTATGGACTTGGCGGTGGTTATGGACTTGGCTATAGCGGCCTACATGCACCAGCATTGAGCTACCATGCACCAGCTGTGGTTTCGGCACCAATTGTTAAAACTTATGCCGCTCCCGTTGTAGCTGCACCAATTGTTAAGACAATTGCTCCCTTAGCGACTTCATATGCCAACACATATAAAGTAGCCACCAAATCAGTACCAATAGTACATGCCGCTCCAGCTGTTGCCGTACATGCTGCGCCAGCCGTTTATGCTGCCCCTGCTATTCACACCTCATCCAGCTATCATGGCTTGGGACATGGTTTAGGTTTAGGCTACGGCTATGGCGGTTATGGAGGTTATGGTGGTTATGGCAGTTACGGTATTAGCAGCTTGGGTTATGGACATGGTTACGGTCACTCTTTGTTACATTAAATTGTTGTCTAAATGGAACGTTAACTGCCGCATGCTAAGACCGATTTGTATATATATATATGTTTTTGTAATGCCTCCGAACGTATTATTATCATTTTTATACACAAAAAATAATCATTAACCACTGCCATTTTTAAGTCGTACATCGTAAATTTAACAACGCATGGAACATCCAGTTTATCGCGATATTTTTGTATTAAAGCTGCAGTCATAAAAGTTTAAGAAGGAAAGAGTGTTATTTTAATACTTTTTTGTATTATAAAAAATGTTGATATGAGAAAATCTAGTAAAGTTTTGTTTGTTTGTTTGTTTATAAAATTGTTTGTTTGCATATTCGTAAAAATTAAATTCCATATTTGTAAATAAAACAATTGTTAAGAAAACAATTCTTTTTTTTTGTTTTAAATTCAAAACAAATTCTTTTTAAAGTTCTTTTTTAAAAGCAGTTTCAAATTTTCCTAAACCTGATTAAATATACAGCATATATAGGTCAGAATATAGTTGTTAAAAAGACAATCTTAAAGCAGATTCTATAAGTCTCCATTAATGCAATTTCCAGTTTGGCTAATCTTCAGAATAGAGTAAGGTATTCTGATCTTCAAGTATTTTCTTAATTTATTTATCTTATTTTCTTGATTTAGTTGACGAATAAATTATATTAAAAGAGCACATATTTTTGCTTAAATTTGACCTACATAGATAGCAATTTTCTATATTACATACATTGTGGATTGAAGAAAATAAGATATGAACTTAAAATGTCTAGTATAGACATAATTTTTCAAAACCATAACGTGCATGATTTTCCGTTATAATGTTCTAGGTTTGAGTTTAAGTCAAAATGCTTCACAACTCCTATTATTTATCTTAAAAAAAGATAAAGCATCATTTTTCATAAATTGTGCCGATGCTGAACTTAATAATGGTCGTACTAAAAGTTCTTCATGTTACAGTGCTTCTGCTTAAATTCTTTTTTTTCTTCATTAATTACAATGATTTTGCTATACTCGTATATTTTCAAGCAATTATACTTGATAGCAGTCCACATCATTTTAACCACCCTAACACTCCAAGTCTTCAGAGTTGTGATCGCTGCTGTTACTCGAATTCATACATTTTGAATATGCTTTTGACAATATTCAGTGTTGACTATATGATATGTTCTAAGAAATAACGTATTTCACTAAAAATAAATAAAATTAGCAAACCCGAAATACTTTACAGCAAAATTTACGATCAATTATGAATTCAATAGATTTTCATTTAATTCTATTCTCCGCTAATAATAGTGTCGCACGCTGTACTCAAAAAAATGATTTAGATAACATAGTTTATAACCAATATGTTTCGTTCTCGGTATAAACCTAAATAAAATTTAATTTATAAATCGTTCGTGAAGTCCAAAAGGTGTCATCGAACAGGTGGATCTAGGTAAACATAGCAATTCATTGTCTTAAGCAAAAAGCAAAAAATAGACTGGACTGGAATACATTGTACTGCAACAATTTGGCTTGTCGCTTATATTCCGACTTGACCAATACATATATTATCGCCTTTAATAATATATGTATCATTTTATATCTCTATATAGTCATACCAAGAGTTCCATGGCTTCTGTACTTCAAATATAGAAGCACATAGAAACAAATTGAAAGTATTTATGAGTACTGGATTACTGGATTATATGACGGCATGGAGCTGAGTTTGGGGTGCTCTGTGGAATCTCTCACATTGAATTCGAAGGGTGCTCGAAAAAGAGACACCGAAATACCTGCTATATATATATCTAGGGTACTCCACTCTTTAATACACTCGACGATTATTTCGACATAAGGATTGCCTTGATACATATATATATTAACGCGTTCGGCTGGTTCTAATGGCCATTTTTCTAACCACAATTACGAGATATGTGAAATCAAAACGACTGCTTTAGCTAATTGACAAGGATTCATTTCTCCTTTCCCTTCACCTATCTACCTACCTATACTTCTACATAAGTAAATTGGTATGGAACTTATAAAAAAGTAGCAACAGAATATTTCAGCTTCCTAATATTGTTATATAAAAAAATACTAAGTTTATCTACATCCCATATAAACAAAACCATAAAAAACAACAAAATTTATAAATTTCTTAATCACTTTAAATGAAAACAAGACATTTTGATCGACTTAAAGCTGCCTGAAAACACATTTTTGATTTGTTGTACGAATTTAAACACGTTAAAAGCTGATCAATACAAATTGCACAATAATAAAAATATTTATTTATTAAATTGTAATATGACTTAATGAACAAAAAAATTATGATAATAACAAGCAGCGAAAAAGAAATAAGCACATAAAACTGCATTAAAATCAAACGAAAGACTTAAGCGACAAACGCGTTAAATTTGCTGCAATTAAAAAATGCATTAAACGCACAAATCGCAATGCAATCGAATGCTGCGCAATTGTGGAAAATCGTGCTTGGTCACCTCCTTTGGATAAAATAAATGTGTCCAACTTTGACTGCCTCTACGTCAGTCAGTCAGTCAGTCAGTCTTTCAAACCACCTGTCTCCAACGCCAGTGGAGACAGCGTACACAATTTAACACCGTTTACATTTCTATTTCAATTAAAAATAAAATTTATTTCACAAAATCTCGATTTCAGTTGCAATTTTTTTATCTAACGAATTCAGTAGTTCGCCATTAAATTAAAAATAATTTAAAGCAAAATTGCACGGAATTAAGAAAATATTTAATGTCATTTAAAAAGGCATTACATATAAATGTTTATAATAGATTTTAAATTTATTTAAAAGAAAATTAAACAAATAAAAATAAAAATTTAATTTCAATAATTTTTGAAATAGCAAGCTTTGATCGTAAAATAACAAAAATTTATATGAACTCGACTTCTCGATAATTTTTTGCATATAAATTAGTTTAAACTTTATGGATTTATGAATGCAAAGCCTTGAATTAGACGACATAACTTTGCCGAGATAATCAATTTTGACTTATTTATTATGACATAAAAATTACTGAAGAATTTATTAAAGCACAAATTATTAATCAGAAGCCTATAAATCCTGAGCTTTAGGAAAATTGATGGCAGCTGCGGTAGTTATATTTTTATAGGCTTTACTAAATGCACTTAATTTTTTTATTTTCATTATCTTGTAGTTTATAGTTATTTCTGTTAAAACGATATTTTTATGACCAATATTATTTATAAAACCATAACAAAGATCAATTAAGTATCAGAAATTTTATGGATGAATAGTTTAAAAAACAATATTTAATTAAACTAGACCGTACAATCTACTACTTTATTTTGTCATTAATAATATGTCTAATCTAAATGTAATCACATTTAGTTTTAACATAGTTAATATTTATAGTGAACGATATTAAGATGGACTACTAAAAAACTTATATTTACATAGGCTGTAACTCTAAAAGTTTACAGGCGCTAAGAATAGTCACACATTAGACACATCTTAAGCTGGGGTGTTACGACTCACATTAACAACACACAACACTAGAAATAGTTAAAAGGACACTTAATAACATACCCGCTCATTAGAATAATTATTGAAACATCTCACCTAAAATGAATTGTTGATAGTACATAACATATAAGCTATGTGAATTAATTTCCGACCTCTAACAATATACGGTCATATTAGTATTTGAATCAATTATATATATCTGACAGAAGTGACTTTGGGCACCTCCTAATTTTTTTCAAATTTAAGTCACCGAGGTTCATGGTATATAAATCCAATTACTTCAATTTTTATTTTTTTATGATAAAAAGCGCTGAAGTGTTAGATCTTTTGCTTGAAAAAATTTATGGAAATTTCCAGTCTTAGGCTACGTCACATTTGCGCCACCTTGGCTCCTTGACGTTTTCATAAATATCTTCCTGGGATTACCGCTTTATGATTCCATTGAAACTAATCTATATTTCATGCAGATCAGATTCCGATGGACTTATTACCAGGGACCAAGTCGCGAGACTAGTTGCAATTCTTTAGGTCATAGCAAACCATAAAAAGAAACTGCACTTTCCGCAATACTTATTGTAGATGTTGCAGAAATTTGAGTAAACACATTCCTGGTGATATCCAGCATTGTCTTATAGATTGAACGAATATTTAAAGAAATTCTTGAGAGTCAATCAGACTCATTAGTAAGAACAAAAGATCTGTTGAACTATATAAGCTCAATGGAATTAGATCACAATAGATTATCCAAAAGAATTAATGTGAGTAATGTAGATTTAAAGCAGCAAATTAGCTAGTTTTATAATTAATAAATAAATTTTTGTCATAATAATAAATATTATTTGAAAACTTAAATTTTTAATTGTTTGTATACTAGTTATGTGTCAGAAGTTTTAATCTTTGAGTTATTAATTACTATAAACATACACAATGATTTTTTGAACCGGATCCTTATTATTGTTTCAGTTGATATACAACGAGATCTCTGATAATGAAGTGGTTTGTAGAGTGTAGAATAAATCACTACCCATACGACATTCCAAGTAATCAACAGGTTAAAGAGCTGGTGATCAATTTGGTTACGGTATGGTGTCGCCCCTCAGCATAACGGAATTAAAGCTGTTGGGTGGTTATCTTAGAGATTATTATGGTCTGCGTTATCATGTCAACAAATAGGTTTGTGTTAGGTGACAGGTGAGAAATATGATTACGGTGCGCAAAAGTAGACTAATACAAAAAACCAAAGGCGTAGTATCGTGTTCGAAACTTTTCTCTCATATTCTAAAGTGATCGAAATAACGGGATGATCGAGAAGTATGACTACAATGTGCTTATATGCATTATTAAAATAGATGAAAATAAGTATTTTATAACAGCAAAATCTTACTAGAGTGTTGTAGTAAAAAATGACCCATCTTACTAGCATTTTCAACGCCATCTGGCGATTATTTAATCTTCATTAGCTGTTCAAAAAATTTGAAATTCGAATTTGAATTGACTATATCGAACATTTTTTAACATTGTATCAAGTCATTAATATGAATGAGCTTTAGAAATGAGTCTCAAATAACGGACTCACTGCCTAATTTTAGTAATAGTTCTTATATTGAAAATTTTATAAACTTTCTTAAATAAGTATGACGCTCTTAATTTAAGCGTAATCGATATATTTTTTGTACTTTTTTGCTCAATGTAAAAACTTAAATGTTATTCACTTTACTTAAAAACTATTTTAAATATCCTAAGTATATATTTTCAGATAGACTGGATATTAAGTGGAAATT